ATATATTGGACAGGACGTGATCAGTTAAAACTCCAATCGACTAGACAGACATGTGCTTCATTTTCAATCTTGATCGATCGTCAGTTTCCTATTCATTAGGATTTTGACGGTTCGTACCGTGGAAGTGTACTGTTGCTGATAGATGGTTATAAATGGTGTAATCGTATAACTGCATGCGATTAAATGAACTGCCTCAAAGTGTATTTCAGATGACGGGTCACATTTGCACATTTCACAAGATGCATCAAAAGGATGTGATTGTCCTGGGATTCGATTCCGAATATAAATCATTTAACAAGACAGACCCCTTTTTCAATTTGATCGATCGTCAACTTTCTATCCGGAACCCATTAGAACTCTTAGAACTCTCTAATCAAACACTACCACGCCCCACTTGAAATGATGTGAAATGAATGGAGCTTTACGTCATACTTTTCTGCGGCGCCATGTGGGATAATGAAGACGGGCAACACCTTGTTTGGTAAAATGGGGATATTTTGTCAGGACAGCGGCATTAGTCTGCTCTTCGATTTCCAACTGGCGTGGGACCTTTACCGTAAACCTCGGTTTAATGTTTCGTCCGAACGACACTTTTTCCATGTCAGCCCCTCTTTCCTGCATTACTGACAGGGGGACACCGGGTTGAAAAATCGGAAGGTATAATCGAGACTTATGCCGTTGTTGAACCCTGGGCCTTAAGGTTAACACCGTTTTCGAAAGAGCCGACATTACACATGTTCATTCACATGCGGGCTATTGAAAATATGAATCAAACTCCGCAAAGAGTCCTCATGCCTTAATAAATTACATTAAATGTAGAACACGAGGTTTGAGAATCCAATTGAGATTTCTATTCCAAGGGAAGTAAGTAGAAGTTTCATTACTACTAATTCAAACTCGCAGTGAACGTAAATGGAAATGATAAAAATGATATTTATGTTTATAGATTTGTTCATCATAAAAATACACATTGGTGTTCTAGAGCATTTACGAACCGAGCGAAAGACGGTCAAGAATGGGTGTCGAGACATAAATCCCTTTTACATTACATAATTTATCCGTTCTCAGAACAGTTATCAGAACGGAACAGATGAATTGTAAGTAATGTAAACGGTCGAGTTTTCTGAGAACCGTTCCAATTCTGGCGCACCTCGGGGAGGTGGTGTCGAAACGTTTCTCAGTACGGACTCGATAAATTGGTGTAATGTAAACGGTAACGGTAACGCTTTACTGCACATGCCTCACACGTGATCTTTTCCGCGAAATTTCGACATAAGTCAGTACAGTAGTTGACGATAAGGATTAAATTTAACTTCTTAAAGAAGAGTTCCACAGAATAACGGTGATGAGAACGCTTACTACAACTGAACAACCGTTCTCGGAACACTTGAGTGGATTGTAATGAAAATGGGCACATTTTATCGCGGACCGAGAACGGGACGTTTTATTGCTGCCTGGTGTAAAAGGGGCCATATACATGTCACATGTGGGTTTTAAAATAGCAAAAACCGCAAAAAAATTCATTCTTTAGTAAACACCGTCATCTCTGAAGTTACCTCATTAATGCTCATTCATTAAAATTTCATTCATTATTAAAGGTGGGTTCCCTTATTTTCATTTATGAAAATGAAAATACTAATACTTATATGAATATAAAATAGAGGTGTTCTCATGAATTAATTCTAGTGACTAATGACTTAATACCAGTTTGTTTCACATGTCCATAATTAATTCATAATTAGCTAAATTAGAAGAGAATTACCAGCAATATTCCAATGAGTGACCGATCAGAAAAGGTCTAAATGTTTATCAATACCTGGACATTTATGATTGGTTAAAACTCTTAATTATATGCAATAAGAACATAATGATATGATTAAGAATATATAATAATTCATAAGAAACACCAATTCATCAAATAGTTTGCCCAATTTGACACTAAAAAATAAGGAAACCCATCTTTAATCGGAAGGTTTAATCGAGACTTATGCCGTTGTTGAACCCTGGGCCTTAAGGTTAACACCGTTTTCGAAAGAGCCGACATTACACATGTTCATTCACATGCGGGCTATTGAAAATATGAATCAAACTCTGCAAAGAGTCCTCATGCCTTAATAAATTACATTAAATGTAGAACACGAGGTTTGAGAATCCAATGCGGTGACCGATCAGAAAAGGTCTAAATGTTTATCAATACCTGGACATTTATGATTGGTTAAAACTCTCAATTATATGCAAAAAGTACATAATGATATGATTAAGAATATATAATAATTCATAAGAAACACCAATTCATCAAATAGTTTGCCCAATTTGACACTAAAAAATAAGGAAACCCATCTTTAAATAAGGAAAATAAGAACAATTTTATGGTATACTACTCAATGGATAGAATAAAATTAAGAAGATTTCTATTCGAAGGGAGGTAACTACAATTTTTTTCCAAGGAGCAAGTTGGGAAAGTAAAGTGAACGAATTAATGCAAACTATAGTCCTTAATCTAGAGAAATATGCCACTGACCTCATCTGAAAGTTTTAAATAAATGTATCTTGAAGTATATTATATGAACGCCAATAAAGTCATTGATTTTTGTTAGTTTTAAAAAAAAATAATGTACGAAAGTTGTAGTGATATAACTAAAAGTAACAATGTCGAGGCGTTAAAAAGCTGAGCACCAAAACTTATTCCCAATAACCTACCAATTGGCACATTGCATTTTTAATCATCCCTTTAAAACAAATAGCATAATTTAGAAAAGATTTCACCTTTAAATCGGTGTATAGAATATTCACTGATATAATCTATCCATTAGACACTCTCCGATGAACTTCCATGCATAATGTATTAACAAGAGAATTTATCTCTATATCTGGGGGGCAATATCAATTAACTATGTTGGTGGTTAACATCCATTATAATGTAAAGATATTAAAGGGATTGTAAAGAGGTTTTCTATTATGCTGTATGTGTATCGAGGACACTGATTACAACAATTTGCACTATTTTCAGTCATTCATTTTCAGTCAGACGTCTGTGGTTCCTGCAATTAGACAAAGAGTAAGACGGGTGTCGGATGACACAAGATATGTACATGTACCTTTTCATGATTAGTGACGACGTCAAACACTTAGTTTTAGTGCAATTTCACAGACGACTGACTGAAAATTGAAATGGTGCAAATTGATGCTATCGGGAACACCATGAGAAATTAAGAAAACTTCCTTCCAATGCCATTCAAGTAATAGTATTATTAAACTGTCGCTGAATTGTTTCTTGTTCATAAGTTCTGTTAAATGAAAATGACAGGACTGTAATACAGTCTTTTAGAGCGCTAGACTCTTCATGCCATTTACTTCCTAATGTCTGATATATGGTGGTCGTGCGTTCTAATATACGTCACCACATGAAAGTCTAGAGACATCGATTAAGTCATCTTTCCTCATTATTCCAGTCTCTTAATGTGAAAATAATAACTAAACAATAACTCAACACAATATGATTAACAATTAATTATAATCGGAACGGATGATCGATCGTTTAACAAATACCGATTGCCACTAGTATCTAGTGATTCCATGAGATAGTTTGTCAGGCAAGCTAATATACGCCCACTGGCCGCTTTGATTTTGAATTAAAATATTTGGCAGTTCATTAACAATCACCAGTATGAAATATTCAACCTTCAGTCATACACTTCTTTTGAACTTTTTGGGTCGATACTGAATAATATTACCAAGTTTTGTAAAAATCAGTCAATAATTGAACCTTTTAGAGCATTTACAAGCTAAAAATTGAACGTTTTTTTCAAGAACAAGGGCAATAACTCATACTAAATATTTTTCGATTCTTCTGATTTCAATAGGGTTCATCCTTGGGTGACACTCACACCAAGTTTCGTCAAAATCCGTGGAGAATTGTGTCTTGTAGAGTGTTTACGAGCAATTGTGGACGGACGGACCGGCAAACGAACTGATGGACGGAGGGACATGAATGACGCCAATATAATGTGAGCGTATAAAAATCGGCGAAAATTGTATCCCTTTAATATAAGATCATAGTTAATAAATGGAAATATCAGTAATGTTATGACATTTGATGGCATTATCTATATTAAATCTTACTGTTTGATGTACATGTATATTACTCTACAGTACACAATGTAAGATCGTCGGTGTATATACTGTTAATTGTTTTCACATCTGTGAATATGACCAGAGCTACTTTTAGAATATACCTTTTGTTATTGTGCCGATTCCTTGCATGCAGATAGGTTATATTTGGCCATACGTATGTGCTTTATGTAGGTTCGTCGATATTTGGATACTGAAACTGAATGTGGACTGAACGACTTGCGACTTCAACACATTTCATTGGATCCGACTTGTGAAGTAATTGGCCGATTGCGATCCCACTGCGATCAACCGGATGGTCGCAGATTTCTACCGTTTAATTTGATGATCACACCCAACTTTCCTTTATATCCCAAAGGTATAGCTAGAAAGGTGTGATTGTATTGATTTACTTTTATAAAAGATGCGACAGTTTTCAACCGCCGTATTGATAATAAGAACGTTCAACATTGTGAAAGTGCTTGGGATATGATAAAAAGTAACTGCATTTGTTACAATATTATTGTATTTCTGGAGAAAGGCCTCGTTTGAGTTCCATTTAATATCAAAAAGTGTACCGTTTACCTTCAATATAGAAAAATAATCGTTTTATTCAAGAAAGCGTTCTTCAGAAAATGTAAACGGGATTATATCGTTTATGAAACCGTTTCATTTCAAAAAATGTTGTTCAAATAAAGGTAAGCGTTTCAGAAAGTGTCCGAGCGAGATTGCTCATAGGAAAACATCCTTTTTAGAAGTAATGGAGGTGTAACGTTCAAGAAACCATTGGAAAAAGTAACTTTGTCAGACGGTGTCTGATTTTGTTTAAGATTAGTAGTAAGGATTTACTATCCGTATTTGTTATTTCTTTTAATGTAAAGGGTAAAATTATGTCGGTAAAGGCAATACCCAGTGCCGAACCAATGTTAAAATTCGCTAATGATGCTGATGACGTAGTTCAGATGTATGGTAAATCAGCGACAATCCATGGTGTGCATGCTATCATTACTCCACAAGCATTTAAGTGGCGAAGGTGAGTTATCAACCGAAGTCATGGTACGTCCAAAACAGTAAATTTCATGGTATTCATTTAAATATGGGTAACGATCAAGGAAAATAACTTGAAAATCATTTATCAAAATATTTTGAAGTTGTAACCTATCCAAGATACCAAAAATATTCAAAGATGCAGTTTATCAGACTTTTTTTTTCAATGGCAGTATCTAAAACAGTTCAATAAAACTGGCTATTGTCATGTCGTTATACATGTCGTTGTTGGTAGATAACAAGATAACGCCCACTTTAAGCTAACCACGAAATTAAGTCCGCTATACCTGTTTATTTTGCAGATATGTTTGGTTGTTGTTGTTGATCGGCATGACGTTTTCTCTGAGTTTCTTCTTGTATCTACAGTTTAAAAAATATGCTTCACACCCCGTTGTTTCCAGCATCAATGTCGAGTTCACTGATGATCTAAAACTACCAGACATTACAATTTGCAACTCTAATAATTTTCACCGAGACCGAATACCAGATGAACCCATTTTGAAAGAGTTGCTGTTTAATATGAGTGATCTAAATTACCTAAGGTATCAGTTAAATGGTACCGCAAGGCCAAGTACCCCGAAATCTACCGACTCCTTCACTGGTCCGTACCTTCGCAAATTTGCAGAAGATGCCACCCATAAAGTTAAAGACATGTTCATGGTCTGTGAATGGCAATACAAATCATTGAACTGTAGTAGATATTTACGAAAACGGTTCACAGATTTTGGAGTATGCTACACTCTTACGTCTAATCAAGATTCTCCAATAGCTCTACCAGTGCTTTCGCCTTCTAATACAGCTAACAATCTTCGGTTAATTGTAAACATTGAACAAGACAAATACTACTACTCCAGAAGTTCCCAGTCCGGAATAAAGGTGAGCGCATCGTAGTCAGTTCAAAGTTATATTATCTTTCTAAATTAAGTAACTGGTATTAACCTTTAATCAGACGCTATGATAACAAAATTATACATATAGGAGTGCGGAAGTAGAGTACAGTATCTTAGGATCGGACACAAGATCATTTTCAAGAACGTGTTGGGAAGGTTAAGTCTTCTTGTATTGAGTTAGGAGAAAGGACAAGGAAAGACTAAAATAAAACTGTTACAACAATTAGGCTACGAAGAAATCTCTAGACTCCAAAATATCATCTTTTAACCAAAATTGTAAAAGTCGCACCCAAGCATTTAGTCCTTCAGATGGCAAAATACATATTGCTTGGTGTTAACCGTCTCCATTAGCCCATTCTAAAGCAGTTCATGAAACTCCGTTTCATACTTGGGGTTATTTACAGATAAAGCATGATCGACTTGCTCTCCAAAAACCTGCAAAATGTCTTCGTGTTGCTATAATGCTTTAATTGCTTTAATAACAAAATACCTCATACTTATTTGTCTAACCAGGTTGTTCTTCACGAGCAGAATACGGAACCATCGCCGTTTCAACATGGTTTTTATGTTCAACCTGGCACATCTACATCTGTCACGTTCGGCATAACTAAGGTATGGTTAATTTTGATTTAAACTTTTTTTTGTACCTATGATATCAATTACAATACACATTATATTATAACTGTATTCAGAAACAACAACACGCTTATATAAACCCGTCTCCATGATTAACTTTGCTGTTCGAAAGATTACCACTCTTGAATTCGATTATTTTTGAAAGTGGAGTTAACATGGTTTCGTCCTTAAAAACAGGAGTTAAAATTGCAAAATTATTCGTTTAGTGCGATGGTAATTTGAGAAAAATGTAAGGTAGATGACAGTATGCAGGCCATATGATAATGCTTACAGAAAGTCCTTTTTTCAGTATTCGTGGTTACCAGAACCATACAAGGCATTTGGAAATACCAGTTGTGAAGAAATAGACGATAGAACATTTAAAACAGAGAACAACACGTACCAATATTCTAAAGATGCTTGTGTTTCTAATTGTATTAGGAACTATCTGTTTAAACAATGTAACTGCAACTTCTTTCTTAATAGAGGTTCGTATTGCTTCGTCTTGATTTATCAGAGGTATACGAGCTTATTCGTCATTGACCTCTGATCTATGTCTATATACTCGTCATTTCATCCCCTCCCCTTTGTGCTTTTTACGCTAATATCAATTTTGAGCAATGACCGATCAAGGCAGCAATAAGTTATACGATGGATTACAGGATAATCATTAATTTCAGACGCCTCCTTCGCATCATCTGCGACCCTAATTAGTTGAAGTTAGTCGAACCCCTTCTTCCAATTCTTCCCCCCCCCCCCCCCCCCAGTTAATGCTTTGGCTTATTTTATTTCAGGACCAGAACCATTCTGTTCACTGACAGAACTACAGGATTGTTTGTTTCCACACATGCACAACATATCTCATGCACACATTTCCAATTGTCACTGTCCAACACCATGCCAAGTTACAGAATATGAAGCAAGGCTGTCCGTGGCCAATTTTGCCTCAACGTTTATCAAGGATTACTTGGTGAATATAAATCTGATTAAAAGTGCTGACACGATCGAGTAAGTACCTATTGACCATTAAAGAAATCGATCTGGAACGACTTGCTTGACCACAAATGACTAACTACCAAAACAATTGGTTCTCTACATGTTCCTTTAACAATGGTGTTAAATGCGCAAAAGTAGCATGAGTTTTCAGTAGCTTTATGGGCATCTGTAGCTAGAACAAAATGACATTTACGAAATGTAATAACTAATAGACAGTAGACTATTTTTGGTATTGTCTTGTCGATAGCTGCTCGTGGATTTCCTTTCAAACTTTGGCCAGGAAGTCTAAGATTAACTCCATGCAAATATTAATTCAATGGGCTTGGTCATAATCAAGTATCGTTGTGTCCATTTGTTTCAGAAAAGCATCTTAATAAATCCCATTAAAATCCTTTTATTTACGTCGGAATCTCTCACATTTCAGTGAAAATCTGATTGATCTAAGAATTCAGTATAGTGCAGTATCGGCCATCATTAAACAACAAAAACCAGAGATAACCATTGAAGGCATTCTGGGTGAGTATCATTTAAATCTAAAATGATCGAGGTGTTTTGTTTTGTGCTTTTTGTGCAGGTTATTCCACTTGTCATCCATGTTCTAGCGAAATTCCCTAGAATTTTAACTCAATAGGATCATAAGTTATTATTAAACAGAGAATTTGATAGGTTGACATTTGACTGAGAAAGATGAAGTGCATTACAATTTTGTCGGATCATGGGGCAGTCGCCCGCAGAAAAAGTACGAAAGTTTATTGAGTATTACTGAAAGAAGATTATACAATTTTATCGGGATGAAATCTTGAAATGTGGCCAATTGAAATCTCTCATGAAACCATTATCTAATGATCAACGGGTAAGATCCATGTGAATATTTACATATTCTCAAGCAAATATCACTTCAAGCTCTTTATAGATTGCATGTAGTTGGCAAAGCAAATATTCAAAGAACTACATGTACATGTAAGTCCCTTTTCTAAGCAAATTTATTCTTACAAGAAATTTTGAAATTTTGCAGGAAATCTTGGTGGACACATGGGTCTATTTATCGGGGCCAGTGTTATGTCTCTTTTTGAACTATTAGAGTTTCTGATTATATACCTACATCAACTGTGTAAACATGGATTCCAGAAAACCAGAAAAAAGAAATGAGAAAGATAGAACCTTAACAACTAAACATTTATTTAGTCTCGAATTCTTATTCGTTACTGAAACTGTCCATTACATCGGAATACAATATGAGAAAGTGTAAGAAAGTTCTATAAAAATTTTGTCTTAATTTTCCCTGTGTTCAACAATATATAAGTTGTTGATGATATTGTAATAAAACTGTCAAAGCCTTTGTACACGGAATCGTATACGAACTGAGGATATATTTTAACAATCACAATGTATATACCTTTAATATTCCAATCAGAATAAATTGTATGCAATAATTAACCATGGCAACCTTAATACAAAATAAATATAATCAGATAATACGTTGAATATATTGATAGATTATTTGTTTATTGCAGAAACATTAGATTGTTTGTTCAGATTACATAATTATTACAAAACATTAACAATGAATAGTACAATGATAGATTCAGTTTATAGCTTCAACCGGATATTCTATTCTGGAGAGCCTAGTCATTCGGGTTGTGCACATTAAAGGGATTGTAAAGAGGTTTTGTAAAAAAAATATTATGTGTATCCAGGACACTTATAGCATCAATTTGCACCATTCAAATATTCAATAAGACGTCTGAGGTTCCTGAAATTCAACTAAAAATTAAGTGTTTGATGACGTCACTAATTACAGAGAAATGAAATGAAATGAAATGAATGGAGTTTTACGTCCTACTTTTCTGCACCAAGTGGTCTCATGAAGACGATAACGCTATGAAGGGTGCAATGAGGGACATTTTGGCAGGAAAGCGGCATTAACCTGCTCTTGATCGATTTCCAACTGTCGAGGGATTTTTAACGTGCACAGTTTATTGTCCCATCCGAACGGCTAGACTAATGGGGTGCCTTGTGTGCTATGTGATAAGCATAGATAACTGTGTACGTTAAAGATCCTTACTAATAGTTAATCAAAATGTAGACTTATTTCACTGAACTGAAAATATTCGCCTTAACAGAAGCAGAAACCTTTTCATTCCATGACAAAATCTATATTATGTAGAGCAATGGGGCAAAAAGTGGTAGGTTTATATGAATTACCATCGATAACTCGAACATTCTAGATTTCTGATAATCATTGATAAGATTTCAAATCGTGTCATGCATTAAATTCTTATCATTAAGACACCATCTACTGCATAATAATGGCAAACAACATAGTATACGTTATTCTTGGTAATATTTTTCATATTTTTGTTTATTATCCATTAATAAGTAACCTTTCGTAATCATAATAATTTTGCTGCTTATCTGGGATATAAAATATGACTGCAAGCCAGCTATTGATTTCGAAAGTATATTGATATCCAGATTGAAGTTTCAACTTGCGACTCCCACAGACATTAAAGGCGAGTTTGCCTAGGCATGATTCCCCCTCTCCTGAACTTAACCTCTAACCCAGGCAGACTTTTTGGCATATTCTCTTGGTTCCTAATCCTTTACCTATGGTGGTTCAGGTAAAAACTACAAAATGAGACAATGTTAAAAATTCCTAAGGAAGCGGATATAGTGTAACGGACAGACCCAACTTTTGTTACAGGTTTGGTAATTTTGGTTGGGCTTTCTTCAGGACGACTTGAAGATTCAGGTAAGATTAATTTTTGTACGATAACTCAGTCTAGAACTTGCATATTTAATCACTGGTTTGAAAGAGGTCGCTCTAGGTTAATAATAACCATAATAACGATATTTGCCCTATCTGTGATATTGCAAGCTAAAAAATGGCAAACGGTCAACCTTTTAAGTTCCACTTGCGCTCTTCAACATGTCAAGGTATTGACAGACGTTGTTTGCCAGAACTCTGTGTTTAGGGTATCACGTGGTCTTCTAATCGGTTGTGACTACAGATTTTGTAAACAAAGTCAATAAAAAAGAAAATTTCGTCATATATGTATTCAAAACGATCATAAAATACATTATTTTTGAACCGATAATCTCAATGAAGCATTAAATGCATCAGAAAGTGTCAATTATCTTATCGCATTGAATTCAAAACTGAACGCACGATCACAAAATATGGCCATAACCTAGCCATAGTAATTCAATATTTTGCAGATACGTTCCTCAAAGACACCCAGGCGAAAGAATTTCTACACCAAAGACGTGATATTCTACAGGAATTAAAACGAGAGAAACAAGAAACTATAGATAAAACCAAAGCATATTGTCATTCCATTGGGAAGAATTGGTGTAGTGGTGGATATGCTGGAAATTGTTGCTAAAATACAATGGATTAAAACTTTGCAATTGTTTTATTCTATTTTACAATGCCATATCTAGCAAAGACCATCTTCCCAATATGAAGCTATGACGAACTACGTATTAAATCTTGACTGTAATAGTCACTTTCTTGCATCACGGTAGTTAATGCAGCGATTTGGTTGGATTGTACGTAAGCGAATACAACCCTTAGTGTAAGACAAAGTTCGTAATACCCCGACCATTGTGAAGAATCAGATAAGAAGACTGGCTTTCAGTTTTCCCCGTATTTGGTCTTCTTTAATTGTTATGCGTCCTTGAAACTATAAAAGCTACTGTTCGTTTGTGGGGTTTCATAGTACATTTTGATCTGGTTTTACTTTTTTGTGTCTAGTTTAATACTGAATGTTTTGTAGTCTGGTTTTAGTTGTTATGTCCCTTTAATATTGAATGTTTTGCAGTCTGCTTTTAGTTGTTATGTCCCTTTAATACTGAATGTTTTGTAGTCTGGTTTTAGTTGTTATGTCCCTTTAATACTGAATGTTTTGTAGTCTGCTTTTAGTTGTTATGTCCCTTTAATATTGAATGTTTTGTAGTCTGCTTTTAGTTGTTATGTCCCTTTAATACTGAATGTTTTGTAGTCTGCTTTTAGTTGTTATGTCCCTTTAATATTGAATGTTTTGTAGTCTGCTTTTAGTTGTTATGTCCCTTTAATACTGAATGTTTTGTAGTTTGCTTTTAGTTGTTATGTCCCTTTAATACTGAATGTTTTGTCGTCTGCTTTTAGTTGTTATGTCCCTTTAATACTGAAAGTTTTGTAGTCTGCTTTTAGTTGTTATGTCCCTTTAATACTGAATGCATTGTAGTCTGCTTTTAGTTGTTATGTCCCTTTAATATTGAATGTTTTGTAGTCTGATTTTGGTTGTTATGTTCCTTTAATATTAAATGCGTTGTAGTCAGGTTTTAGTTGGTTTTAGTTGTTATGCCCCTTTAATATCAAATGCATGGAAACATAGAACAGTAAACAGTTCTATGATGGAAGTCTGCTTTTAGTTGTTACGTCCCCTTTTATTTTGAATTATCAGTGATCTGATTTATGTTATTATGTCCCCTTAAATTGAATAAAAAGCCGTACATGCAAAACAATTCCGTTAATCAAAATCTTGTTCAAAGTATGGCAAAATCAAGAGCAAGAGTAGTATAGTAGTAGACTCCTCTAAGGAGAAGTATCATCAAGTGTTTCGAAAAGAGTAAGCATGGTAGGCTTCAAGTGCGACCACTACTATATAGGTCAACATCATGAGATACAATTAAACCATAATATAAATATAAATATTTATAACTCTATGAATCAGACCAATTTATGTCTGACCAAACAAAACTGCCAAGATGCAAGAAACACATTTGTAACATTTGTTCATAAGTTCGCTATAACTATCATAAAATGAATGTTTTATGAGGTTTTTTTTTTTTTTGGTCTAGTGTCAGTTGTTTTGTATCCTTAAATACTAAATTAGTTGTGGCCTGGTGTAGCTTTAGTTATGTCCACTAATATTGAATGTTTTGTGGTCTGGTTTAAGTTGTTATGTCCCCTTTAAAATTGAATGTTTTGTGGTGGCAAGACGAGTTTCAATGAAAGCACTGCCCTAAGTACCCAGAGCTGTTGTCGGATTTTAGGAACTTTGTTTGTAAAAACACATTATTTGCAATAAGTAATATTCGACCACTCTCTCTTCAGACTCAAAATTTGATAATTATTTCTTTCGTGAATTGGAATTTGGTAAATAACAGAAAAAGTTAACACCAGAAAGCATTGTGGTGGAGACAACAAACATAATAGTTGTTTACATTCTGATTGTCCATTACTTGCTAAACATAAGTAAATTCTTGTAATAAACTTACCGATACTACAGCAACATCATTTCACTGTCAAAAATACACTTAGTCCATATTTTATGACAAAAAACAGAAAATGTCCACGTTTTCACACTTCATAAAAAATCATGCATGTTTACGATTTCCTTAAGTATGTCTATGACGTAATTTCTTATGAGCGTGATATCTGAGTTTGGATCATTCTATTTTATCATAGGTGTATTGTGTTCGTTTCGTGGTTTAATGCACATTTTCGATAACCACGTGCAAATTGACCACCCCTGTGACAAATAGAATATTCCAATACAAAATTTCGTGTACTGAATTGGGATATCCTCTTCTAGTATCTACTTTCTTGCTGAATGAAAACGTTGATGTGTTTCGCTTTCAAAATAAAATTGAAAATGTGTACAGCAAAAGTGTCTTTGTGGCATCGGTAGCCTAAGTTTATGTTTATGTAAATTTCTTATGTGAAGCATGCAGTGAGAAATTTTTCTATTGGTAAACAAAGGCGATTTTCCGGAATGGTATTTTTCCAAAACGGGAAATTAAAAATTTTATTCTGTATTCATTGGAAATGACAGAAAAAATATAAAGCCAGTAACTATGTGCGAATTTAATTGATTTATTTTGAAATATTTATATAATAGTCTACATGTAAATTCAAAGCTTATTTTAAGTTCTGGTATGTAAATAAAGTGTCAAGTTAAGCAAACTATTTGATTAATTGGTGTTTCTAATCAATTATCACGTATTCTTAATCATATCATTATGTTCTTATTGCATATTATAATTAAGAGTTTTAACCAATCATAAATGTCAATGTATATACAGTCTGGATAAGACTTTTAGACCTCATTGGAATTCTGCTGGTAATTCTCTTCTAATTTAGCTAATTATGAATTAATTACGGACAGGTAAGACAAACTGGTATATTTCCAAGTCATTAGAACACCCCTAATCTAAGTATTTGCATTTTCATTTTCATAAATGAAAATAAGGGAACCCATTTCTAATTTTGAAAAATGGCTAAGTTATGCAGCATGCAGAGTGTCTATTTTGACTACCACAACCTCTTACTCTTTTGCTGATTTTGGACTAGTTATTTTACTTAAGATGAAATTTTGCATATTATTCTGTGTCTGTCTGACTTGAACCGACCTGCCAAGGGAAAACAAAAACAACAATATTTATAAGGATAGATTTAATAGATAAATATATAAATAATCAAGTTGACTCCAAAATCTAATATTCCTCGGCTTCCTCTTCTCCTTCACCTTCAACAGAATCAACTCCAACCTCTTCATAATCTTTCTCTAGAGCAGCTAAATCTTCTCTAGCTTCAGAGAATTCACCTTCTTCCATACCTTCACCGACATACCAATGGACGAAGGCCCTCTTAGCGTACATGAGATCAAATTTATGATCAAGACGAGCCCAAGCTTCGGCAATAGCAGTAGTGTTACTTAACATACAGACAGCTCTTTGAACTTTGGCTAAATCACCTCCTGGTACAACAGTTGGTGGTTGGTAGTTGATACCCACTTTGAAACCAGTTGGACACCAGTCGACGAATTGGATGGTTCTCTTGGTTTTGATTGTTGCAATGGCAGCATTGACGTCTTTGGGAACAACATCACCTCGGTACAACATACAGCATGCCATGTATTTACCATGACGAGGATCACATTTGACCATTTGGTTTGCGGGTTCAAAACAGGCGTTGGTGATTTCAGCTACTGAGAGCTGTTCGTGGTAAGCTTTCTCGGCAGAAATGACTGGGGCATAGGTAGCCAGAGGGAAATGTATACGTGGGTATGGTACCAAGTTGGTCTGGAACTCGGTTAAATCGACGTTCAAGGCACCATCAAACCTGAGGGAAGCGGTGATGGAGCTGACGATTTGACCAATGAGTCGGTTTAAGTTGGTGTATGTTGGTCGTTCAATATCGAGGTTTCGACGACAGATATCGTAGATAGCTTCATTGTCTACCATGAAAGCACAATCGGAATGCTCCAATGTGGTATGAGTTGTAAGGATGGAGTTGTAGGGTTCTACCACGGCAGTAGAAACCTGGGGTGCTGGATAGATGGCAAATTCAAGTTTGGATTTCTTTCCATAGTCGACGCTCAATCTTTCCATGAGTAGTGAGGAGAAACCAGATCCAGTTCCTCCTCCGAAGCTGTGGAAGATGAGAAAACCTTGAAGACCAGTACATTGATCAGCAAGTTTCCTTATTCTATCCAGAACTAAATCGATGAGTTCTTTACCCACGGTGTAGTGACCTCTGGCATAATTATTAGCAGCATCTTCTTTTCCGGTGATGAGTTGTTCGGGGTGGAACAACTGGCGATAGGTACCAGTTCGGACTTCATCCACGACTGTTGGTTCCAGATCAACAAATACAGCTCTTGGGACGTGTTTACCAGCTCCAGTCTCGCTGAAGAAAGTGTTGAAGGAATCGTCTCCACCACCAATAGTTTTATCAGAAGGCATCTGACCATCAGGTTGGATACCATGTTCTAAACAGTACAACTCCCAACAGGCATTGCCCATCTGGACACCAGCTTGGCCGACATGGACAGAGATACACTCACGCTGAAAGGAGAAAAAGGCTTGGGTTTTAAAAAAGTCTCTCAAATACCAAATCAATACCGAATAGTCACATATAAATAAATATACTAAGCCAAGTTGATACTTGCAAAGGTGATTCATATTTTACAGAAGAGTAAATATACCTTGCATTGCTACATTCACTTCTAAGGTTACAAAAAATAGAAAAATTAAAAAATGGAAATAAATATATATTACTATATCGCTTAACAATGGATATATTGAGCACTATTTAACCGTGGAAATATTATCTAAATAAATTATTGAATAAATATTATGAATAAATAAAATAAACGCTGAGATCGGGAATGGTGGTCATTAAGTTTGTGTCAAATGACCATATATTCTAAGAAAGAGAAAATAACTTACCATTTTGATAAGAAGAGAATTTCCAAACTAATGAAACAGTCTAGAAGACTTGCTGAATTGCAATATTGAGCTTGAAGCAAGATAAAACTTTGAATATGATTTGATTAGATTGTAAAGTTTCTTTTATATACTGTTTTGTGTTGTGTATTGTTTGTGATAGAAACCGTTGTTCATAGAAACTATAGATTAATCTCCAATGGGATAAGATGATTAGCTGCTATTGTCATAAACCAATTATGGGGATTATATCTGCTAATCCGATACAAACATGATCATATTAAATTGCATGAATTGTTTTCTTGAATACCTCTTATTTTTATTAATTCATGTAATTTCACTTGGTGTAGAGAACAATATCACGGCATAGGTTTTAATAAAAATAATATGAGATATCGTAGCATTATAGTAGCCAACTGCGTCCATATTTACTCTCGAGCAAAGAAAGAAAAGTGAGAAACAAGGCGAGAAGTCGAGGAAAAAAGACGAGAAGTCGAAAGTAAAAAATACGAGAGGTCTAGGGTACAAAGGACGACAAGTAGAGGGTAAAAAGGGCCTGAAAATGTTCTCGCTTTTCCGTCTCTCTTTCAGCGCTTTCTAGTGAGCGAGAAGTCGAGAGTAGATATGGCCACAGTCGGCTTCCATTCAGCATGCAAAGACCTCTGGTTCCAAGGCTTCTGAAAGCATCCTACCCATCTCTCATACCGTACAGCGACAGGCTAGTGCTAAATCGATAACCAAAATGTGTTATCAAAACATCAGTTTGGTACCCTAGCCCTGTTCTCTTACCACTTTGGTTTGTTGCCTAAGTTTGGTAACCAGGACTCTAGACTGGGCGAATTACAATACACACGGTAGTGTAATCAATTCTGCCCTAACTCCAGGAAACATCACACTAAATTCCTGCCAATAGTATGTAATAGATATCATTAGATAATATCAGGTTCCATCTTCACAATGTCAAGTTATTACAGAGTGTGTCTAATACCTTGACTTCGTTAGACTAATTGCTTGTATCATGGAAGTTTGTAAATGAAGCTATCTGAACAAGAGTCCTCCACAGAAAGTCTGTAAACCATAAGCTATAATGTTTATGTCGAAGGCTCTGGTTGACTGTAATCGCATGCGTATAATTCGCTAAATTCCGCGATATAAGTTTAGAACACAACGGTGTAAAGTTCGTAAAATTGACATTGTGAAGCTGACCAAGTCCATGCTTTATCAGATGGGCAGTTCACATAACTTGGTATCTATGTAAAAAATTGAAAATGAGTATTGCTTTCAACAGTGAAACTTTGTTAGGCATTTAGATTTCCATTGTTAGTAAGTAGCTTAAATAAGCAAAAGAATACTATTCACTATGAACAATAAAACTGACATTCGGACACTACCTGTCCAAGCGCTTTTGCTTCATCATTCGAAGACAAAATTTATTATACATTCAACAAATCCTTTAAATCGTCATTACGGACACACGGTTAAGTTATTAGATTTACTACCACCACGTTTTCCTTTCTTTAGGATGTGTTGCCTGAGTTTCCTCAATGTAGGTTGTGTACAGCAAGAAAGCAGGAAAGAGTTGGCAACTTCTTTCGTTATTATTGGTAGGTGTTGATCTAGAAAAGAAAGTTAAACTTTCATTCTTTATACAATTCCATAGATGGCGGGGCTCATTTTGGATGTAGGACGTACACTCGGTGTCCGATTATGAGAATATAACGAGAAGTAAAAACTAAGCTGAAAGAGGACAACTGGAGTTAGGGCTGTTGTAGATCAAAGTCAGGACGAACTCCTTAAGCGGCAGGAATGGGTTCATATATCTTCAAAAAGCCAAGCTATTACGAACTGCGTCTAATACCTTCGCCTTGACCGATTCGCTACAGTACAATCTAGTCCTATTGCTGCATTTACAAACTTTCGAGGTTACAGTCAAGATATTAGACACAGTTCGTTATAGCTTGACATCGTGAATATGGTTTGGGAGGAGATGGAGAAAGTTGGCTCGACACAAATATGATCATACCTTCTGTAGCTTCAGTAGCCAGCATTGGTTCACACCTTACACCTGAAATAAAGAATAAGAACTTTTCATTCCCTTTTCATCGGTCCTCCGGTCCTCGATTATTTCTGTAGCAATTTTTCAGTTTCAGATGCCAGTTGAATATCGAGTTGCCCTTGGATAATACTAGTCGAAGGGTCGTCTTGCAAGGTATGTAGTCGTGAATTAGACTAGATTTTGATTAAGTGGGAACTGCCAAAGGGCTAAAGAGACATATAAAATAATAGAAAAACCCTAGGTACTGTCAATTCAATCCTCAAAACGAAACTCGATATCCAAAGTAAGTATGTAAGTATTAGGAATACATTGGTTGCAGTTAATGACCTTTCCATATGAGGGAGTATATCATTCATAAAATGTGAAAGTTTTTGATAACAAAAAGGCGTATCAGGTGTCTAGAAGAGTTAGCATACCCTGCTTAAAACATATTAAATTCAAACAACATTTGAGACCAAAGAAGAAAGTGAGAATATCACAAAGTATGGAATCTTGTAATGAACTCGTACGGAAATCAAATTAGTGTGTATGAAAATCTTGGCACATGTTTGGCACCATGCACAGTTACGTAGAGTGCAAATACATGTATTGCATTTGTGAATAATGTAATTCTGTCAAAACAAAATAATTAGGAACAGTTTAAATATAGATCAGAGTAACACCATACCTGTAAATAAACAGATGTCTGAGGGAATTGGAGGTTTTAGGTTGTTGCTTTGGGGATTTGAATACATTAGCCCAAACATTTTTATTTTCTGCTTTTGGGATTTGTATATTAACCGAAATTTGTCCGTTTTGTGATTTTGGGAGTTATATACATTAGCCGAAAATTACCTTTTTTATGCTTTAAGGTTGCAGTACATTAGCCGAAATTTGTCCGTTTTGTGCCTAAGGGATTGCCGTTTTTTTGGTTGTTGCTATTAGAAATTGGTCTTGCTCAGCACATTGTCTAATCTAAAGTAGTTGTGCAGGGTGAATTAAAACAAAATGGATCCGAAAAAGAATCTCAAAAAAATCTATGCATTTTTTTCGATTGTGATGTCATTTTGTTTAGTACAAATACAGTAGACAATTTATCCAGTGCTCACAATTTTTCAGCGGGAAACTTCATTGCAACACTTTTCACTAAGTTTACGGCAAATCCGTCCCGCACAGCTTTTCAGAAACACCCGATAAGACTTAATGTTGAAAATCGAACGAGAAATAAAAATATAGCACTGCTACTTAAAAGGGCAGTGTGATTTTTTCCTAGGTTGGAATTTCATTTCTGGCCAAATTGTTAAAAAGTATAGACCAAAATCCAGAGAAATGTGTCCCTTAACTTATCTGAAAGATTTAACTAAACAAAATCTTGCCGTTAATTTTGTACCGTTAAAATTGTTTAGAAGGTTTACATGAACTTGTTAAGTTCGTTATGATTTTCGACAGGTGTTAGAAAACTGCTGTACGGAAAAATAAACGCCTAATTATAGAGAAATATGTCTCCTACATTTTCTGAAGGTTTCAACTGAAAATATCGAGTATTACTTAGCAATTAATACACTTTTAATTAGCCTTTTTAAAACAAATTCAGTTTGATCAAGTAGATAACTAGATATAAATAGAATATTTAGGAAAGATTTTCAGGTATAATTTACGACCTTTTTGAAAATTTTACGTACTTCACCTTTACGCCTTCAATATTAATTTAAGGAAAAAATTCTAATACAATCTATTTCACGCGGTATTCTGTTTACTTCAAGTAAAAAATTCCACTAGATAGTCCTACGTATATGATGGCATTCAAATTTCAAATATACAAAAGTTTAAAATTAAATTATGTACTTACCTTGCAATAAGACGCATATTATGATACAGATGTGGATATATAAGAAAAGACTGGACATATCTCCATTTCGTCTATGATCTTCTCAGATCTGGTATGTTTTCGATTTTTCTCTTCTAAATATTTGACTGACCTGCAGGATTAGTTTACTTCAGGTAGTCTCGGTTATCATGAACTTTGAGAAGTGTTGAATGATAAAAATCTGTTTTAAACATCACAAGGTAAAAATCTGAATCAGAAGTAGGTGTGATAGAGGCTCGCATACCGTACACTTCTTATTTTCATTTCAACAAAATGGATTAGAGCTCATCTCATGCTGCCAAGACTTGTTTCAGACTCAAATCATCATCAATCTTTTTGGATTCTTCACGTAGGAATTTAGGTGTGTGAGCAAAGTTAGCGAATTTATTGAACAATGAAGAAACGAATGATTAAATATTTTGTTTTCTGTCAAGGGGGAATGTGCTCATTAAAACAGGTATTATGAAAACGCAAATGGCCTAAAACATTTTACACTGAAATATGAACATAAAAATCACGTACCAAGAAAATCTAAATAAATTTCAAGTACCATGTAAATCTACATAAATTTCAAGTACCATGTAAATCTACATAAATTTCAAATACCACGTAAATCGACCTAAATTTCAAGTACCACGTAAATCGACATAAATTTCAAGTACCACGTGAATCTACATAAATTTCAAGTACCACGTAAATCTTCATAAATTTCAAAAACCACGTAAATCTACATGAATTTCCAGTACCATGTAAATCTACATATATTTCAAATACCATGTAAATCGACATTAATTTCAAGTACCATGTAAATCTTCATAAATTTCAAATACCATGTAAATCGACATAAATTTCAAGTACCACGTAAATCTACATAAATTTCAAGTATCACGTAAATCTTCATAAATTTCAAAACCATGTAAATCTACATGAATTTCAAGTACCATGTAAATCTACATGAATTTCAAGTACCATGTAAATCTACACAAATTTCAAGTACCATGTAAATCTACATATATTTCAAGTACGCAAATCTACATAAATTTCAAGTATCATGTAAATCTACACAAATTTCAAGCACCATGTAAATCTACATAAATTTTAAGTACCAAGTAAATCTACATAAATTTCAAGTACCATGTATATCTACACAAATTTTAAGTACCGTGTAAATCGATGCATACTCTTATTATTAATGGATAAATATAGTGCTTTAAATATTCTGAAGTCTTATGGTCCTAAATCTTAAGTAGTAACCTATTATAACTTTTTACTCTTGAAAATTCAACGACAGGTTTATCTACAATTTAATTGACCCGGGAGTCAGCGGAGTCTGCAAAACCCAAGAAAAAAATGAAAAAATGAAAAACCAAAAGTTTTAAAGATTTGAAACAAAATATTACAAATCTGTCAGCATCTGACACAATGTGCCATAGATTGTACAGCAGAACATAAACTTGTTCTTTTTCGGGGGATCTTAAACATATATAGCCTTGGTTTAAGGTCCCATTGGATCGAGAAGATGCTTTTTTCCGACCTGCATTACCAAAATATCCTGCCGCAATCGAACCAGCTATTGCATCCCATGAGAAATCCAAACGTATGAATTTTGTACGAGATATAATGTTTTCTATAATGGAACGATGTTGTATATAAAGATCTATTTAAGGGTACATTGTGTTTGTTAAAACAGTCTGAGACTATCTGATGGCTACCAGCTAGGTTGAAAGAAAGAAACAGCTCGTTATTATTCTAGATGAAATACAATCAATCTGCTGGAATGTTTACTAGGTGTTCGGGAAATCGACCTGTAAACAGTTCAAGTAATACAATATGGGCTGATCTGGGAACGGTTAAAGGTTCTATCGGTAGATGTGACCAATTGAACTTTTTGGAGGGGGGTCCAGCTTCGGACACAGTGCAGCACGCAGAAATTATGCCGGCGTGTGTGTTCATATTTACAAGACAAACCGTACATAGAAGAGTGATGATTTGCTGGTTTTAATATCATATGACATAATAAAGGGTACTACATGCACCATAGTCCCAAACGCAAGGTTTACCATAGTGGAACACGGTAGAAATATCTAATGCATGTATTTGTAAGGAGAGACGACGAGTGTTTCACAACAGGGCTCAGCAACAAGACGCGAATACTGAACGTTTTCTAAATCGGTTGAAATTTGTGTAATATGGGAGACAACTGTGCTCGTTTTGTATGTTTAAAACCAAAGTTAAAGGGAATGGTAAGTAGATTCAGGTATGCGTGAGAAATGAAAGATTGAATGAACAACTGGTTAGAAAACACCTGAAGTCACTGTTCGACTGGAATTGACCATTTTCCACATCATAATAGCGCTTCTTAATTAGAAACAAAGCATCCACATAACCAAATTCGAATATAAGCGAGCAATCGAGTAATACCCAAGGTTGGGTGAACTTTAATCAATACGTTACCATTGGGTTAAATATTTGTAAGCACTGTCGATATAACTAGATATTCCGAAAAGAGTAAGCACTGTCAAGATAACCAGTTGTTCTGAAAAGAGTAAGTACTGCCATTATAACCAGATGTTCTGAAAGGAGTAAGCATTGCCAATATAACCAGATGTTCTGAAAGGAGTAAGCATTGCCAATATAACCAGATTCTCTGAAAAGAGTAAGCATTGTCAATATAACCAGATGCTCTGAAAGGAGTAAGCATTGCCAATATAACCAGATGCTCTGAAAGGAGTAAGCATTGCCAATATAACCAGATGTTCTGAAAGGAGTAAGCATTGCCAATATAACCAGATTCTCTGAAAAGAGTAAGCATTGTCAATATAACCAGATGCTCTGAAAAGAGTAAGCATTGTCAATATAACCAGTTGTTCAGAAAATAGTAGGCACCAGATGAGAGAAGAGAAGAAACTGTCAAGATAACCAGTTTCTCTTTAAAACAGAATAGGCACTATCAATATAACCAGTTTCTGTGAAAACAATGGCCATTGTCAGTATAACTAATTGTTCTGAAAAGAGTAAGCACTATCAAGATAATCATTTTTTGAAAAGAGAAGACACTTTCAAAATAACCAGTTGTTCTTAAAAATTGTACTGTTAAGATAACCAGTTGTTCTGAAAAGAGTAGTCACTGCCAAGATAACCAGTTGTTCTGAAAAGAGTAAACACTTTAATAATAAAAATAGCCATTTGTTCTGAAGAGAATAATCACTGTCAAGATAATCAGTTGTTCTGAAAAGAGTAGTCACTTTTAAGATAACCAGTTGTTCTGAAAAGAGTAAACACTTTAATAATAAAAATAGCCATTTGTTCTGAAGAGAATAATCACTGTCAAGATAACCATTTGTTCTGAAAAGAATGATCACTGTCAAGATAACCAGTTGTTCCGGAAAGAGTAGTCACTGTCAAGATAACCAGTTGTTCTGAAAAGAGTAGTAACTGTCAAGATAATCAGTTGTTCTGAAAAGTGTAGTCACTGTCAAGATAACCAGTTGTTCCGGAAAGAGTAGTCACTGTCAAGATAACCAGTTGTTCTGAAAAGAGTAGTAACTGTCAAGATAATCAGTTGTTCTGAAAAGTGTAGTCACTGTCAAGATAACCAGTTGTTCCGGAAAGAGTAGTCACTGTCAAGATAACCAGTTGTTCTGAAAAGAGTAGTAACTGTCAAGATAATCAGTTGTTCTGAAAAGTGTAGTCACTGTTAAGATAACCAGTTGTTCCGGAAAGAGTAGTCACTGTCAAGATAACCAGTTGTTCTGAAAAGAGTAGTAACTGATAAGATAACCAGTTGTTCTGAAGAGAATAATCACTGTCAAGATAATCAGTTGTTCTGAAAAGAGTAGTCACTGTCAAGATAACCAGTTGTTCTGAAGAGAATAATCACTGTCAAGATACCCAATTGTTCTGAAAAGGGTAGTAACTGTCAAGATAATCAGTTGTTCTGAAAAGTGTAGTCACTGTCAAGATAACCACTTGTTCCGGAAAGAGTAGTCACTGTCAAGATAACCAATTGTTCTGAAAAGAGTAGTCACTGTCAAGATAACCAGTTGTTCTGAAAAGAGTAGTAACTGTCAAGATAACCAGTTGTTCTGAAAAGTGTAGTCACTGTTAAGATAACCAGTTGTTCCGGAAAGAGTAGTCACTGTCAAGATAACCAGTTGTTCTGAAAAGAGTAGTAACTGTCAAGATAACCAGTTGTTCTGAAAAGAGTAGTAACTGTCAATATAACCAGTTGTTCTGAAGAGAATAATCACTGTCAAGATAATCAGTTGTTCTGAAAAGGGTAGTCACTGTTAAGATAACCAGTTGTTCCGGAAAGAGTAGTCACTGTCAAGATAACCAGTTGTTCTGAAAAGAGTAGTAACTGTCAAGATAACCAGTTGTTCTGAAAAGAGTAGTAACTGTCAATATAACCAGTTGTTCTGAAGAGAATAATCACTGTCAAGATAATCAGTTGTTCTGAAAAGGGTAGTCACTGTCAAGATAACCAGTTGTTCTGAAAAGAGTAGTAACTGTCAAGATAACCAGTTGTTCTGAAAAGAGTAGTAACTGTCAATATAACCAGTTGTTCTGAAGAGAATAATCACTGTCAAGATAATCAGTTGTTCTGAAAAGGGTAGTCACTGTCAAGATAACCAATTGTTCTGAAAAGGGTAGTAACTGTCAAGATAATCAGTTGTTCTGAAAAGAGTAGTCACTGTCAAGATAACCAATCGTTCTGAAAAGGGTAGTCACTGTCAAGATAACCAATCGTTCTGAAAAGGGTAGTAACTGTCAAGATAATCAGTTGTTCTGAAAAGAATAGGCACTTTCAAAATAACTGGTGTTTTGCACATAGTAAAATTGAAGGCTGGTAATGGCATCTGAGTGCAACGAGAAAATTTTAAAGACATTTGTTGACATTCAGACAAACCTTTCACTATTCTTAACTTGAACTCCGTAATGGATTAAAGAGGAAATACTCATTTCAAATCTATGTTTGAGTCTCGTGTTCGATTTTCCAAAAAATGTCCTGGGCGATTTTCCAGACATCCAACGTACATTACCATACCGATACCAACGTTTAATATAATCTTCCGTTTACAGTCACGGTGCCGTACATGTCCCATTTCTTTTAGGCAAGGGATTTATACCACGGCTAAGTTTAGTCAAAAGTTGTTCGCATAATCCAAATGTTAGTTTCTAGTCGGCTCGTTTCTTTCGCTTGTAGATCTATGTTCTGTTTTTTATTTATTTAGTGATACCGGCGAAATTTTCACGATACAAATTGTTAAGTTAAAAACACGGAAATGGAGTTTATCAATGAAATTTATCTTCAAATACTCAGTCGCGTGCTAGTGAGTTCTCCGTTGAGTTGTCGTAATCCAATCAACAGACCAATAATTCCCTTGACGGCGTTAAGTAGATGTCAATCATTATTAAAGACCGCCCCTTATGATATTGACAGGTGTACAAGAGCTAAAAATATGAACTGGTGCAATTTGATTGGTCGCTACAGTCCCGCGCTAGAGAACAACGTGGTTTAATGTTTACATGTTTATGCAAATAAGTCTCGACGGAAGTTATACCGAAGCGTAACTTGATTCAAGAATACCGGTATAGTTGAATTCGGCAAAAAGGTGAAGCATGGCTATGTTTGTTATACATTTGCCAAACTTTTGTACTGTGCTTGAGGAGTTTGGATAATACCTATTATTTGGATAGAGTTATTGTGCAACACTAACACGGGTTCGCCAAAATGGCCCGTTGTGTTTGTGAGTGTGGATTCCGAACATTCGGTAATCGGGCCATTGCCGTTACTATATTAACCACTATTGTGTTTGTGCAATATACTATCGCTCAGGTGTTATTGCGACCAGAGGATATCTTACGTTCAAAACGCACAATTGAAGTGCCGTTAGGCCGGAGTCTATACATTACTCCAGAGGATTTGAAATTATATGTTAGGCCAGACGATCGATGTACTGTCACGGTGTTAGAAAATGACCCCCTATCTCAAAGACCTGGCAAACTTATGCCCACTGTGTTCCCTTGTGACTTCGGACCAAGAGATGTTCAATACGCACATTTTGGATCTCGAAACCCATCGGAGGATAAACTTCGATTACAAATTCGTTACGACTCTACTACTCAAACCCTCCTTATTCCATTTACACTCACGTTTAAAGTTTCATTTGAACAGTTACAAGTCGTCACTCGTAATCTACCTATCAATGTAAATGAATTACGCGGATTAAGTCAACCGATTGATTCAGAGGTTCTAGAGTTCTATTTTGATCGTGAGGTTGAATTGTGCAAAGTGACAATCTTGTCCAGTGCTAGTGGATTACCGCGATATGGCCGCATTGCAAACAATACCGATCTCTTGTCCATGGTCGACTGCGACGAATTCCTTAACTTGGGGATCCGTTATCAACATACGTGGGACAAAACTTCGCCCGATCGTGATTTTATTCCCATGGTTGTTGAGGTATTTGACTCGGATGGGACTATTATCAAGCAAGAATATTTCCAAGTAACGGCAAGAATTCGGGGTGGAAAGGCCAACACTCGTCCGCAACAGAGCGTCGATGCATTGCTCGTTATGGAAGTCGATCAATTTGTTATGACGGCTATCACTGATGAGATCCTATCTGCTTACGACGAGGAAACCAATTCTGATTATTTGATCTTTAACATAACCCAGAGATTAGAAGACGACGAGGGTGAAATAGTTAGCACCGATGATCGCTATCAGCCTGTCAAATCGTTCTATCAAAGGGACGTTAGAGATTTTAAGATAGCGTTTAAGCCGTCTGCGAGAGATTCTGACCGTCAACGCATTTATCAAATTGGTATGGAGATCATCGATTCTGAAGGACTTTCTTCTGATCCTTTTATGCTCATGATAGTGGTCAAACCCATGAATACAATGGCCCCTGTTGTAACAACAAATCGCGGTCTTCAACTTTTTGAGGGTCAATCTCGATATCTCCAAAGCGATCTCAATCTGCGTATATCGGATGAAAACGATTTACAAAATGTAAGGATATTCGTTGACAATGGATTAAGACATGGACAGCTGATAATCCCCGGCGGTCGTAAATTTTTCACGCCAAAAGACTTAAAGGAAGGGACAGTTATTTACCAACACGATGATAGTGATACCTATAGCGATAATATCATATTCAAAATGACCGACGGACGAAATGAGGTAGAGTTTCTGTTCCCTATTTCTGTTTACCCCGTCGACGACGAACCGCCAATTCTAAACGTGAATACTGGTTTAGAAATTCGTAAAAACGAATTAGCAGAAATATCCCCATTTGTCCTTAGTGCAACAGACGTCGATAGCGACGATAGCCAAATCGAATTCCTTTTGCAACCCCCATATTCGACAGAAGGCATCATTCTTAGGCGACAATTTGAAGTTCCCCAAAATACAGACGATTGGCAGTTTACAAATGGCGTTTACGAAAAAATTGTCCAAAGGTTCACTCAAATGGATATTATGGATGGGAAGATTTTTTATCAGCACGTTGGATCTCATCATTCAGATTTTATAATGGACAGAATTCGTTTTAAATTATCTGATGCCGGCGAACCACCTAATACTTCTGAGCAGGAAGAATTCATCGTCAAAGTGGCACCGGTAGATGATCAGTTGCCATACATGTTCCCGGATACACCATTAAAAATGAACGTCAACGAATATCAGGTTACGGAATTTAAACGGAAATTCCTTCGATTTACCGATGATGACACCGACGACAGGCAATTGAGGTACACCGTTACCATTCAACCACATGATACCGACCCCAACACTCCACTAGAACCAGGTGTACTCGTCATGTGCGATGACAAAAAACGCCGTGTGAACACTTTCACTCAAGCACAGGTCAACCATCATAAAATTTGCTTCAAACCACCAAGCGCAGAGCTAGGATTTGTCCCAAGAATAATTCAATTTGGATACGATGTGGAGGATATCAACGGTAATGTCATTCGGGACCAACGCTTTACTCTGCTCATTAAACCCATCGACAACCAGCCTCCTAGGGTCATCAATAGTGGTCTCAACGTAATTGAAGGACAATTCACGATTTTGACACCACAAATGCTGGATGCGGACGATCCAGATACCGATGGCTCAAATATTAGATTTGTTATGGACAAACTACCTTCTCATGGTGCACTTCAACTAGATGAAGACATTCTGGATGTAGGTGATTCCTTTGATAGAGAACACATTAGGAGTGGCCGAGTGGCTTATTTCAATATCAGAGACGATAACGGTGAAGACAACTTCATTATTGATGTCACAGATGGTACTCACAGAGTTCCTGTCAAATTCGATGTCAAAATCGATTTCATCGATGACGAGCCTCCTACATTGATCGGTATTGATTCTGGAACTCTTGGAATCACACTAGAAGTTCCTGAAAATGACAAGGTCAAGATCACTCCCGAGCATCTTAAAGCTTCCGATCCAGATACTGATGACCTAAGACTCACGTTTGTTATTTCCAGAGCGCCCTACGAAGGGGCAGTTCTGTTGAATGGCAGACAAACAGAAGAGTTTACTCAGAGGGAAATAGAACACAGAAGAGTTGAATACAGGCATGCTGGGGGAGAAGTTGGACCTGTTGGTCGTAATGATTCTTTTAAACTGATGCTCACGGACAAGTCTGACGATTTCATTGTAGGGGGCAACAGAATCAGCGAGATCTCCGTACATGTGAAGATTGTACCACAGGACAGTGTTGCTCCCATTGTCAGTATAGGTGCACATTTTGAGGTACCCGAAAACGACAAGGCACCCATTCTACCAATCCATTTTGACGCCACTGATATTGATACTGATGACGAAGATATTACTTGTACTATTGTTTCTCAACCTATCCATGGGTATGTGGAAAATATATCTCCAGCTCCAGGTTCCGAGAAACCTAGAACTGGTATACCTGTTTCAGCTTTCAGCATAAAAAATGTAAGGCTTGGACAGGTCAACTATGTTCAGAGCGTTCACAAAGGAGTTGAACCTCGACAGGACTCTTTTAATTTCTATTGTTCAGATGGCGTCAACAATTCACCAACCAGCCAATTTACTGTGAACATTATTCCAGAGAATGATGAAGTTCCCGAAGTGTTCCTCAGAGAATTCATGGTGGTAGAGGGCATGAACCTAATGATTGATTTGCCCATCTTGAATGTGGTTGATGAAGATTACCCGGACCCAACCGAACTTTTGTTCACCATCACCAAGTTCCCTGATCATGGTCAGATAGTACAACAGAGCAGCGAGGGATCATTTCCAGTAGAAAGATTCACTTTTGATGACATTAATGAGCGATCCACCATAGAGTATGTTCATGACGATACAGAGACCTTGTCGGATTCCTTTGAATTTCTACTGACAGACGGAAAATACAACATTACCAAGGTGGTACCAATCATAGTTATTCCCCTTGATGATGAAACACCTCGATTGACGATCAACAATGGATTGGAGGTGGATGTAGTTGGAGATGTGGTCACCATTACCAACGATGATCTCAAAGCTGAAGATTTAGATTCCAAGGATCCTGAATTGACATTCATTGTTCGACAGATGCCGAAGTATGGCTACCTTCAGAAGTTAGTCAATAATTATGCTTACAATATTACCCTTAGCTCTAATTTCACTCAAAATGACATTGATTTGGAGCATATCCAATATGTCCATACCGGTTTAGAAGGGGTGCGAGACCTGATCAAATTTGACGTCACTGATGGACTAAATCCTCTAATCGACAGATATTTCTATATAACCGTGGAAGGAATTGATATGATCTACCCTACTGTTGTCAATAAGGGCATGGAACTGCCCGAAGGTGGAAGAGTGGTGTTGTCTACTGACTTATTGGGAGGGACTGATCTCAACACACCTGATGAGAACTTGCAATTCATTGTGACTCGTGCCCCTGGTCGAGGACATTTAGAACTGACAGACATGCCAGGTGTTCCCATCACATCATTCTCTCAATTGGATTTAGCTGGAAGCAAAATTGTGTACATCCACACCAGCCAGGATGAAATGAAAATGGACAGTTTTGAATTTGAGGTGACGGATGGTTTCAACCCTGTGAGCAGGACGTTTAGAATCTCTATCAGTGATGTGGACAACAAGAAGCCTGTTCTCATGTTCCATACTCTAAGACTCAAAGAAGCTGACAATAAGCTCATAACTCCATTTGAGTTGAAGGCTGAAGATCGTGACACAGCTGACAAACAGACTGTTTTCACCATCACCCAAACACCTATCCATGGAAACCTCTTATTCAACAACACCAGGATAGTCACATCTTTTACTCAAGAAGATCTGAACGAGAACATGATCACCTACCAGCATGATGGATCTGAGACAACACAAGACAGTTTCTCTTTCACAGTGTCTGATGGTAGTCATGCAGATTTTTTTGTGTTCCCTGAAACCACCTTAACAACTCGCAGACCTCAGACAATGCATATTGAGATTAAGCCAGTGGATAATGGCACTCCACAAATATCTGTCAACACTGGTGCTTCCACTCTACAGAATCTTGGAGGAGGTCGTTTTGGATTTACTATCAACACTAAAGCTCTAAAGACTAGTGATAGGGATAGTCCTGATTTTAAATTAAAGTACACCATCACCTCAGAACCAAGATATGGCTATATAATCAACACAGCCATTGGAAATAGAAGCATTGATACATGGACACAAGGTAAGACCCATTTAAGATATAACTGATAATTTTCCTTTATATTACACCACCCTACCATGCCTTTGTCCTAGACTGCCTGACACATATATAAAGACACACACATACTTCTGTTAGGACACATACATCTATTAGTTCACATACTTCTGTTAGGAAACATACTTCTTTTGTGACACATATTTTTATTGGGACACATACTTCTATTGGTTCTATTGGGACACATACTTCTATTGGTACACATACATCGCTTGAGACATATTTTTACTTACATTGGGATATATTTCTCTATTTCCATTATAACACATAACTCGTTATTGAAATTTTTAACTGCCCAGCTGATGTCTAAAGTAAGAGAAATATTCTTGTTCAATCTTAATATTAAAAACATAGTACAATGCTTCTAATTGTCTAAAAATGTTTCAAATATTTAAGAGTAGATAGTATATAGATAAGATGATGTTCAGTCATAAATTTTCTTTTTACTTTTGACAAAACCATGTCTTTCTCGAAGCCTTTGTGCCCTTTTTATGTAATTTGAAATTTCTTTTCGTGATAAGGAAAAATTTTATAAAAAAAAATTTCGCACTTTGAGGACTTAACAATTGTTATTTGTCTATCTTATTTTGTTGAAATTTAGACATCTGAGCCTGTCTGAGCTAAAGCTTGTGTGATTGTAATGAAGAGGTTTTAAAGCACTATTAAATAAGCCTTTAGGTGAGATGAGATCACCAAGATAAAGGTTATTGACAAACTTTTTCAATAGCATACGTTTGATGTTGCCTTTCTGTTAAACAAAATGTGTGAATGCAATTTTCTATACAAAATTTCCCTCATTGCACACTATATGGTGTTGCCAGTCTTAACTGAAAAATCAGCTGAAAAGATGAATTATAAGCTCTGTTTTTTTCATCAACCCAATAAGGTGCAGAATTCTAGGAAATGACCTCTTTAACTAACACTTGCTGATTTTATTTGAGAATTTAACTTCTAAAATAGACCTAAGTTGATTAGCTTGAGGGGGTTCACATATCAAATCATGTTTTTATTAGTTTTAAGCTAATGATGTTCGAGTAAAGAACAGTTTAAATAAGATCATGTGTTTTATTGTAAAAAATTCCAACCCAAACGAAATCTTATTATGATCTTTATTGGCATGTTAGAAAACAATTTACAAGACAATGATGGTTCAGAGAGTGCTTGCTACCCTGGAATGAAATAAAATGAAATGAATGGAGTTTTACGTCCTACTTTTCTGCACCATGTGGACTAATGAAGACGGGCAACGCCATGCAGGGTGCAGTGAGGGAAATTTTGCCAGGACAGCGGCATTAGCCTGCTCTTTTTCGATTTCCAACTGTCGAGGGAACTTTAACGTGCACAGTTTATTGTCTCATCTGAACAACTAGACGCTTTTACTATGTCAGCCCCTCTTACCTGCATCACTGACAGGGGGCTTGCTACCCTGAAGGTCAAGGGTTTAATCCTTGCATAGGGCAAGATAATCCTGAATTTTTCAGAACAGTCTCTCTCAGTCAGTGATGTAAGTCAGAAAGGCTGAAATGAAAAAAACGTCTAATTGTTCAGATAGGACAGTAGACAAAGGCTCTGTGTGCTACACATTGTGCACATTAAAGGTGGAAAACGAATGTTTTGAATTATTTTCAACCCTAGTCATAAAAAAGGCAGAAATAATCTGTAAAATTTTTTGAAAATTGGACTGCTTTTCATACTTTCTTACTCTCTCTGTTAGCTTTACTGAAAAAATCAATATTAACAAAAACACAGATATTGTTGAACAGTGGGAGAAGAAATTTGTCACCTTTCCATTATGAGAACAGACTCCTCCTTTAACAAACATTCTATCTCTTTATTTAAAATTTCTTAAAGGTAACCGTGAATTGAAAACAAGCCAAGATTTGTGTCTGGTCATGCTGAGAACTGAAAGAATATAGTCTAAGAGTTGTGCACTTGTTTAATCTAATTAGTTATAATCACAGCCAATCACGGGTGTGCCTATAATAGTATCAGAAACATGAAAATCCACATTTTACAAAATGGAAAGCAAAATACTACAAGCGCAAGAGATTTGAATGCATGGCCCATGTTACACATAAAAATGAGAATTTGTTATCATAAGAATTGAAGGCAGCCAATATACATTAGCAGTTTCGTTTCCTTTGCTATCAAATTGCTACGTGACCTTAAGTCAATGTCCAAAAGTCGAAAAAATTGTTGAAGAAGAAATTACATGTATCCAAAGCTAGTGACATCCACCAAGATACTTAAAGTGGAGTTTAATTTTAGGGTTGAGTTTGCTTGAAATTGGTTTATTTTGGTATAGTAAACCTCTCTATAGCCATCCCAAGTTTTCATAAAGAAATTGATAATGGTCTCTTTGTGGACAAAATTGCTACTTATTTGATATGTTTATAGTCAGTTGTCACTGTTAATAAAAGCGTCTTGAAGATTGTAAAGATATACTTGAGTGGACAATGATCTGCCCTCTGAATTTATTATCTTTATCAGTGGTTGGTCAAGAATGTGAAACAATGGTCAAAAAATGACCACAGTGGTAGAGGAGGGACCAGTCTCGCTTTGTCAAGTAGATCTTGGTTTGAATTTTACACATTTGAACATTCTTTGTAGAGAGAAGGCATTCTTTTCACTTTTAAATTGCTTTTAGTTGTACTGTTTTGAAAGGAATAGATCCTTTCTCCCAGTGTACACCAATATATGGGTTTTTGTTAATATAGTGAAATAATGTTGGAAAGGGGTGGAATTCTTGGGTTTTTTTCACTTCACATAGTAGATTTTTAAAGACTGGGTGATAATAATCAGAATGTCACCAGTACCTCACCTAGAGAGCAAGCATTCGACTTGCTGAGTAAATGGCAAATTGGTCAATTTTCACTCCTGTGCCAGTGCTCACAAAAGCTGACCCTTTAAAGGATTAAAGAAGTCATGCAAGTCATCTAAAAGTTTTAGAGAGGGCCAAATATTTCTTAATTGTGTCATTTGCTACAGGCCTAGCAAAAGTTAACCTCCATTTCTTAAACTAGTGTTACTGATTAGGATTATGTATCCTAAATGCTTAGCACGATTTAAGCTCTAGTGCATTACATAAATGTATTATTATCAGCTTTTGAATTTTGTCTTTAGAAAAAGGGAGCCAAGAAAAACACATAATGTCTTTAGGTTTATGTTGGTTTTCACAATATTCATGTATTGAAAAAGACATTAAAGAAGAAAATGATTTATGTCACAAAAGGTCAAATTTTATTATAGGTGTAATAGTAATTTTAGTATCATAATATGACAATAAAGCTTATTGTTTGGTGACCATTAAAGTCATACTAGTCCTATATTTGATACATAAAAATCGTATTAGATACATTAATGTATTGAGAGGCAGAATTGTCTACAGAGTAAGGACTCAAAGACTCCTCAATAGTTGGATTGTTTTACTGTAGGCTTTTGCTGAAATTCTTGCAAAGTAACCCACATTGCAGATCGTTTTAGAGCAGGCCTGTGCAACCTTTCTGCAACAACGGGCCACATTTGGGGGATGCGAGTAGGCCGTGGGCCATGTAAATGAATCATAGAATTAACAATGAGAAACATGCAATTTTATTCAAGTCATTTATTCAATATCGTATTTCAATGTAAAATCACTGTTTCACACGAGGGCAGACCTCGTTAACGATTTGATCGATTAGATTCATTTTGTTTCGTTATCAGAATAGGCAGTGACAATCTACGAGCCACAACGAAGCATTTGGTTGCGGGCCGCATTTCCTTCAAATTTTACATGACGCCGCGGGCCACATGAAATCATCTTGCGGGCCTTAGGTTGCACTCGTCTGTTTTAGAGGCATAATTTAAAAGGATTGTAACAAGGTTTGCTAAAAATTTTTATGTGTATCGCAAAGGGCCTCAACTTAATATTTTGCGATTAATGATGTCATCAAACACTTAGTTTTAGTGAAATTGCTGGAACCACAGATGTATAATGAAATTTGGAATGGTGCAAATTGATGGTATCAGTGCCCCTGATACACAAAAGATAGTGTAAAAAAAGAAAAAGAACAAACGCTCTAACCAACCGTGTTATAGAACCCCAGAAACTGAAGCGTATGAAATAAGAAAAAAAAGAAAGATATCTCCCTCTAGTCACCCTAATACATATTTGATATATAGTATACCAAAGGGAAACCTTGACTTTTCTTGACATTAAGAATCTTTCGTATACTCCTCTCTTTAAGTTACATATTTTATATATCATAAAGACATTTAACATGTTATCATTTTATATTTTTATTTTTGTATATTTTATGAAATATTTTCTTTTGTTATCATATGTTGGTGATGGTTTTTGGTCTAAACATTATCTTGTGTTATGCAACAGTCTGATATATTTTCATACCCCCTTCTGAGCCTCATTTTCATATAGTTCACATAGCGTAAAAATTGCCCGTCTGTCCTTGTGACATACAAATCGTTGCGAATTCCATGCTACCCGCTGTGTACAAGTATGCAAGCTCTTTTCAGTTTGAATTGTATGATATCTTAATGACTGTATGAAGCCTATGGGACGTCCGACAGAGATAGATTAGTTTTTTTCAAAAATCTTTTCAAAATTTTAAAAGTCCCTTGACAGGGTCTCAAATCTCAAAGTAATTTTTGATACTTTATCTCGTTTTTTTTATGGGTGATATCTAGGCCTAACTACGTAATATTTTGAGGGGTTTTATTGGATGCAATCAGTAGAGCTGAACTGAAATGAGAATGTTGTTAAGAGAAGTTTAATAGACAAGCGTGTACTTGACAATGAAGACTTCAAGTGTCAGCTCTTCACATGTGAAGGGGAAAAATTTACTGCAGACGGTTGATTCAAATATTTTAATTGAAAATGGCACCTTGGTTAAAAATTTGATTACAAAATCATTGGTGAAACTTTTGAATTTGCATAAAATTGCAAACTCATTACATATATATTGCATATAAGAATTCAGAATTTATTATCAACTGAAGCAAATATAAGAAATGATACAAATCATGCATCTGGCTCATTCCCTTATCCAAATGTAATACTATTAAAATTGGTAAGGATAATAAACAAGATAGCTAAATTGGTGTTAAAGGGGCATTATGACATAATATTGCAACAAACAATGTTTATTTACAGTAAGTACAAGAGTCCAGACAGATAAAACTGACCAAGTGACACTTTAAATTCATTAATCCATATTATACTGTCAAGGCTTGAAGATGTATATTTGTTAAAGCTGATATGTTAATATATGTAGCCTTCCTAAGGGCATTTAAGAAAATAAGGTAGTTAAAAATAAGCCCCTATCTTATTTATCTCTAACTGATGGGAGTTTTAGGGCCCATTAAGTGTTTTTTAGTATGGTAATTCCATGGATTCTATAACATGCATCAATGCTCAGGAGACTTTATTTGGTTAGCAAACCAGCATCTGGGTTTTAAAAAACATAGAATGATATAACTATAGGGTGGCAAGCCTGTATTTTGGTTTTCAATGGCAAATTAAAAATGGTTCACATGTAGAGTTGCACCAAGGTGGCAAACCTGGAACTTTGTTTTCAATGGCAAATACAGAATTTTTCACGTATAGAGTTGCACCATGATGGCAAACCTGGAACTGGGTTATCAATGGCAAATTAAATATAGTTCAGATATAGAGTTGCACCAAGGTGGCAAACTTGGAACTGGGTTTTCAATGGCAAATTAAATATAGTTCAGATATAGAGTTGCACCAAGGTGGCAAACTTGGAACTGGGTTTTCAATTGCAAATTAAATATGGTTCACATATAGAGTTTCACCAAGGTGGCAAACCTAGAACTTTGTTTTCAATGGCAAATTAAGTATGGTTCACATAAAGAGTTGCACCAAGGTGGCAAACCTGGGACTTGGTTTTTAATGGCAAATTAAATATGGTTCACATATAGAGTTTCACCAAGGTGTCTAACCTAGAACTTTGTTTTTAATGGCAAATTAAGTATGGTTCATATAAAGAGTTGCACCAAGGTGGCTAACCTAGAACTTTGTTTTCAATGACAAATTAAGTATGGTTCACATATAGAGTTTCACCAAGGTGGCAAACCTGGGACTTGGTTTTCAATGGCACATATATAAGATTGTTGCAAATGTAAGGAGACTCTAAGGTGGCAAAATAGTGTATTCTTACTAAGACTCATGAGTAATCCTGGGTTATTTTAGTGTCAACTGGACTTTTTCCTTGGGTGGCAAACCATGTTGCAGTCATAGTGTCACCATGACTGCAATCATTTTATGGGGGTGAAATGTTGAAATAAAGCTTTGGAAAATCAAGATTTTGGCGCCATCAAATCACTGTAATTAAAAAATTCCCAAGACGAGATAGTTTTCATTTCAAAAAAATATTTCTACTGAAATAACCATATTTCATGAATAATTACAGTTCTATGTTATATGTAAAATATAAATTATGCAGTAACCATTTAATAAATGAAGGTTCACGAAACTGGATGACATACTTTGTTCTGATACTGAAAGTTGACATTGTGTCATTTAAACGGAAACAAAAGAACTATTTTTTTTAATACGGCGATCTCTGATCTCAATATAAAAGGAGGGTAACTAGCAGCATTTTAGTCCGGAAGTTGATAGGAGTGATACATGCACCTAACCTTTCCTGTGCACCTAACATCATGGGCTTCGGTACACAGTGTCAAAAGTGTTAATACATATGCCTTATGTATCTTAATATAACACTAGAAATATCAATATAACACTATCATAACTTAGTGTTAAATATAACAACTCAGACACTAGCCTAACTATTTATAAAATTACATAGTCACCTTTCTTCTCCAGACTCATAAAATAGTCACGAACTTCACAACAAGTTTATGTCATTACCATGCTATGTGACCTTGGATTTTACCA